CGGCGCACCCACTGAGGGTCAAGTATGGCTCCGTGGAGATCGACGAGCTGGGCAAGGTGCTCACGCCCACTCAGGTGAGCAGCGCCCGGCCCTGCGCGCGGGGCTTGGCGCGGCAAAATGGCGGGATGCGGTCGGGCCTCTTGCGCTGTCGCTCCGGCAGCTGCCGCCGCAGCTTCACCCGGTGCGGGGGCAGAGAGAGGAGCTGAGCTTTGGGAGCGGCCTTGCTACGGCGGCGGCCGTGCCGCAGGGGAGAAGGCCCGCGGCTCTCACAGCCAGGGCGAGCTGGCACGAATGGCCTCGAGCCCGTCGGGTGTCGCTGGCAGCGCGGGTCATGCTGGCCCTGAGTGCAGGGCAGTGGCTGGCGCTGACAGCGGGGCCGCTGCTAACGCGGTCACCCCTGCAGGTCCAGCATCGCCCCACCAGCATCGAGTGGGACGGCTGCGATCCCCAGAAGCTTTACACCCTGGTTCTGACAGACCCTGATGCGCCCAGTCGGAAGGACCCGAAGTTCAGGTAATGGGGATGGACAGCTCCGTGTCCTGTGTGGGGAAAAATGAACATCTCTCCTGGGCTGAGCAGAGGCTTAAGGAGGAGGTGGGACTGTGTTCTGCCTAAGGTGCAGCAGTGGGGCTGTGGCTTGTCACAGAAATTGTGTCCTTGCATCTCTCCTTGAGCCAGGGACAGCATGGGGAGGAGCGGCTGCTCTTATTAGGGGTGTTTGAAGATCTGTTGTAGCTGGAGCAGCACAGCATTTACTGCTTGCTCTAATTTAGCACATATGTGAGTTGGAATTAGGTCTTGCTGGTGGCAGAATCTTAAATCTGGGACCAGCTCACCTTGCTCAGGTCAGCCTCAGCAGTGTGTGGAATGAATACCCACTCTCAGAGGTCAGGCTCTGGGTTTCCTGCAGCCACGTGGAGCTGGTTTTGGCAGGCTGTGCATCCCAATGAAGCAGTGCGTGCTCTGGGACTGGTGCTGTTTGGGTTTTACAAACCAGGAGTGGCAGCTGTTTTTTTACCCCATGCTGGCAGCCTCATGGAAGAAGCAGCAGCTTGGAGTGATAAAGGGTCTTGTTATCTGCGGCTCTGCCAGTTTGATTTTTCTTTGCGCTCTCCTTCCAGGGAGTGGCATCACTTCCTGGTGACCAACATGAAAGGCAACAATGTGGGCAGCGGGACCGTGATGTCGGATTATGTTGGCTCCGGTCCTCCCAAGGGAACAGGTCGGTACCTGCAGCAATTCCTCCATGATGCTGCACAGATCACACCCAGTGCAGAAGGCTGGGGAGGGAAGCCTGCAGGAGCAGGGATCAAGCCTATCCTTCCCTAAGCTCCATCATCCTTGTCCAGCTGCGGGGGTGAGCTGTGGGCGCAGGTGGTGACGCTGTCCCTCCCCGCAGGGCTGCACCGCTACGTGTGGCTGGTGTACGAGCAGCCCCAGCAGCTGGCCTGCAACGAGCCCGTCCTGTCCAACCGCTCCGGGGACAAGCGCGGCAAGTTCAAGGTGGCCGCCTTCCGCAGCAAGTACGGGCTGGGGGCGCCGGTGGCGGGCACCTGCTACCAGGCTGAGTGGGATGACTACGTGCCCAAGCTGTACGAGCAGCTCTCGGGGAAGTAGGGCCGCGGCCTGTGGGGCACTGCAGCACCCGTGGGTGGGGCTGGCACAGCGCTGTAGTTCTGTTTTGTTAATGAGTTGAACCCAACTGTCCTGCTCTGACCACTGGAAATGTCGCTCTGTCGCTGTCCCTGCTGTGTCCAGGCTGATGCCCATGGGATCCTAGCTAGAGAGCTGCTGCTGGGTGCCCCTGGAAGGGCTGCTCCCTCCAGACTGACCTGCTTAAGGGAATCAAAAGCCTTTGTGAAGTAGCGTCAATTCAGGGGGTCTCTGCTGTCTTGGGAGGGCTTGAGGTGGCAGGGCTGTGGGTACACAACCACTTTGGGGTGGGTGCTGGATGTGGAGACTCCCTTTTCCAAGAGAGGAAAGGGCAGTCAAAGGGAAACTTCCTCCCCTTTCTTTCCCCCTTCTACCTTTGGCCAGTGCCTCCACATCACCACTACAGTAGTGAAGGTGCAGCTCTGGGGGGAGGCAGGAGCTGGCCTAGAACACTTCCTTCTGTTCTCTGCTGCCACTCAAAGCTGAGACCACTTTGTTTTGTTCAGTCCTGTGGTGACCTGCCCTGTACTCACAGTGCAATTAAAAGCTTCCCAAGGTAC